TGCATCCCTCTTAAATGTAAGAAAACTGAGGCTAAAGGCATTTTGCAACATTAATTAACTTTATATGTAGTGTCAATTTTTTTTAAATTTTAAAATGAAACTATCCTAATATTATTTCTGCACAATATGCTGCTGAAAATTAATCAATTATAGATAAGAAAAAGAAAAAAAAAAAAAAAAAAAAAAAAAAAAAAAAAATAGAACCAACTTTACAAAGACGTGAAATTCAAAGCCAGGAAAATACAAAATTCCCTATTAATATTTAAAAAAAATCAACCAGTAGTCTCCAAACCAGAAGAATATTAGATGTGGGAAATAATAAAATTGCAAAAAATATATAGGGAGAGGAATGCAATCAAAATCTGATTCTACATTATCAAGAGAAGGTGGATCAGATTCAATTGAACCCCTTCTCCCAGGAAATTCTGCTGTGTTTCTGTTCATCCAAAATAGCTGATGAACCATTGTAAGTTATTTAACTAAACAGATCACCCCAAAATTCTGAACTCCTTGACACAGAGGAAATTCATTAACTCTGTAGCTGCTGGTGTTGCGTTGATGCAACAGTCAAAATAAATGCCTATAAAAGTATAACTACCAGAGATATTTTATACTAGCTGATGATTTTGTGTAGAGAATATTATGTTAGCCAAGGTCACTGCTTATCCAAACATTCCATCAATCAGCTATTTGTATTAATGTGGGGCTGGAAGAGAAAATAAGTGTTGTACTGGTGAAAGATTAGCAGATTCATTCTATGCTTTCTTTAAAAATGCTTAGAACGAGCTACCTTAACATTAGAAGAAGCCCTTCAGAGACTTTTTGATGGAGAAACAAATGATGATAATGACCAGAATGAAACTAATATTGTATTTTGATATTTATTCTGGTAAGTTGACAGCTCCGAAATTATCAGAATATGAAGAATTTGGTCTTGATGGAAGTGTGGTGATAAATTTGCTCAGTGTTAATGAAACTCCTGCCAGTCATGCTATTTACTTTGATAACTTTTTAATATCATTTCATCTTCTCTGTCATCTAAAAAATAAAGGTTTTTGTGCTACAGGAACAATTCAAGAAAACTGTGTATGAATGTGCCCAATTGAAAAGGGTGAAATATGCCCATAAGAAAGACTGGTTCTGATTTCCAGTACAAAGGGAGAAACAAAATAATTTTTGTCCGATGGAATGGCAATTCGGTTGTAACTGTTGGTTTAATTCAGAAGTCAAACAAAAAAAAAAAAAAAAATCAGCATTATATTTTCAAAATTTTCACAGGACTAGTTTCGATGGTCCTGTGTGGGACTGTTGGTTTAACGTTTGGAAAAATTCATTCAAATTTGGAAAATTCAGCTCATAAAAAGTGTTTCCTGTTATTAAGAACATAAAAGAAAAAGGTTTTTGTATTTCAGCTTCATTTTATTGAACAGTACAATGCCAAAATTGGAGGAGTCGATTTATGCAACAATTTAGTAGCCAATTACAAAATAAGAGTTCGTGGCAAGAAATGGTGGTGGTCAGTATTTACTAATTGCACTGATGTATCCTTGACAAATATGCATGGAAAATATCATGACTTTCTACTACTGGAAATAGAATGTCTCTTTAGATTTCAGAGGCGAGATTGCATTATTCCTTTTGCAAACTGCTATTGAAAGTGTAGAATTAACCAGTATAAATACTTAATTTAATACTTATTATTTGTATAAGGGGAAAAAAATCATTCCTTGTAATTTTGGCAGTTAATGAAATATACAAAAACACATTCAGTGTTAAAAAAAAAAAAAAAAAAATTCATCTGCTTACTGTACAATTTGTCCTGACTTTACTTCTATTAACAGAGGTCTGAATTTATTCTTTTCTAACCTTTTCTTACTTTACTATCATACATTCCAAATCTAAAAAATTTGAAAATTACTTACAAGCTTTTAATTCACCATTTAGATTTCTAACTTGCCATTGCCAATAAAGCCAAACTGGCAACACTAAGCATATGTTTTTGAATTTTGATCTTTGTTTTGCTCTTGGTAAATTCTGATTTCCATGTTCTGTGTTAATTCTTATGTATATTTCATATTACTTCATTTTAATTTAAATCTTAAATTCAATAAAAAGTATGTAATTTTTTTTTTTTTTTTACTTTATTTCACATTGTACTTTTTTACACTGAATGTGTTTTTTGTATATTTCATTAAAAGATTTCCTTTGCATGGAGGAGGAGGTCAGAATTCTCGGTTGAACTGTTATAATTAAATAATTTAGGATGATTCATCAGCTGATTTTGGATGAACAGAAATGCAGAGGTTTTCCTGAGGGGGGGGATTCCTGTTCATATATATTTTTTGTAATTTTTTTATTTTTTATATCTATAGTTCTTTTGGTTTCTTTGTATTTTACTGATTTTTATTGTATTTTGCTGGTTTTTAATTTCATTTCTTTCATGTTTTTGTGGATTTAGTTCTAAATTTCTTATTTTTTGTTTATTAATATAATGTTTTTTATATAATATCTCCAAGGAACATAAATTTAATGTGAAGATTTATTGGAAAAAATTTGAGTCGGAATTTAAGTTTAGATTTCTATTGTAGTAAATATGTTTTAATGAGCTGTGTAGAAATATTATTTTAAACTGGAAAAATTCTCTTTCTATATATATGAGTAATAGTCATGTAAATTAATTTCCTTATCTTCAAACATTCCTGGATGATGTTGCAGTAAATTCCTGTTATTGAAAGCTTGGCATCAATTCAGAGAACAGAGCTGGTATTACTGTTGTTAAATTATTTTTTGTTTTATTCTCATATAAATTAATGTATGAAATATATTGTAAGAACTAATGAAAAAAAAAATTGATGAAAAATAGTACAATTGAACTGTGCTTTAACAAAATCCTAGATATAGCTAATGGACCTTTAGGACCCATTCATTTTCCTATATACTTAATGCTGTATACTTTATACTGCTATAGCAAACTTTGAAACATAGAAAAATCCTCTGTAACGAATTGTATAAATACCTTCAATTTAAACTTTTCCTTTTCATATTTTTATCATTTTAATTATTTTTTTTTTTTTTTTTTTTTTTTTTTTTTTTTGATACTAGGATCCACATTCCATTTGTAAAGCAAAATGCCTTTACATTACTTCTCTTTTATTTTCACCTTCACTTTTCTCTGTGTTCTAGAAAAGGGCTATGCAAGATGGGTGTGGCACCCAACTTGAGGAGAATGAGGATACAATAAGGTATCTTAGAACAGGTATGCATGATCATTGAACCAGAAAACATAAGTAGGCTTCCTGATTCCATGCAAATTTTTTGATTCAGCTGCCAGAAAGAACTCTATTCAAGGCTGATGCTGTGATGAAATTGTGAAATTTTCGCTTTTCAGAGTAAGAGGAAGTAATGAATCTTGTAGTTTTGTTTCAGAGTATAGAAGGTTTTGATCTGTAATGCTTTGGTTTGTTTGTGTATAGATGCTCTTCAAGCTTTATCCTCTGAATAAAGGTTTTGCGTACTTTAGGTTTTTTGCAAGATAAAAATATTTTTCTGAAGGTTTTTTTCAATGTGTTGCAACCATACACATCTTAGAGAAAATGACTGTGTTCTCACTGGACATTGGATAAGACAAACATGTGATGAAATTATCTTCCATTTATGTGTTTTTCAACTTTTAGAAATTCTATGACCAAACTATCATCTGTTTCTGTGTCAAAAATTCATTCACATGGCAAGCTGCAGATAGAAAGCTTTCTGCATATAAGGTAATGATAACATTATTCAAATAATACAAAGTAAAAATACAAAGCTACCAATTGATATCTGCTTGAAATATAGTTCGTGCAAATATACAGTTGATACCATGTGAAAAAAATTGAAATTTTATAAATTCTGCTCATGGTAAAAATTTAAATACAAGAGAAAAAGAAATTAAAATTATCAAGCACAAGAATTTGGAAAAAGACTTCTGAAATCTTTCATCATCCAAAGAAGCTGTAAAATGTCACTATCTGGACAAATGATTCAGACAAAAGCCAGGAGACTTGAAAAGAACAAACGGCAAATTTAATAACTGCACATAATAATAATGGCAGTGAAAAATCTTGGTTTTTAAAATTAGATTCATTGTGCCTTTCTTTTGGAAGATGTGACAGTGTTGTTTTTTTGTCTTTATTCATTATTCACTTTTTACACATTTTTGTGAGATAATAAATTTTTCTTATCGGATCACACATATTATAAACCAAACTTCCAGCCCCTTGAAGTTCATTATAGCGAAGTTCGACTGCATTTTCTGCTGAAGTTCGACTGCATTCACTGTACATTATCAAAAATTTGTTTTCAATTAATAGACTGTTTGTATGAAAATTAGTTTGAATAATTTGTTAAATATGTTTAAAAATATTCAAATCATAAAATATTTTGGCATCAGAAATGCTAAATAAATTATGACTTTGTACAAGTTAAATATTTTTCAACACCTTTTCTTTAAAATTTTAAGAGAAGAAAAGCTCACTTTGCCAATATTCATAAAAATGTATCTTCACCATAGAACATTTTTTGGAGTGATAAAATATTTTTATTGAACTCAAACCCTAAATACTCAGACTAAAAAGCACTCCTTGAGAGATTTTTTTTTAAAGTAATATATATTTTCCTTGTAGTATAATGTAATTTATTTTCACATTATTTAAGTAGTGCATGTGTAAATTTTGGCATTAATGCACTAACAAATAATACCTACAAGAATATCCCGCCTTTAGTATGATCACCCTGTTAAACTGTCCATCTGCATTTTTCTGCTGAAATTTACTACATCATTTCAGTAGAATAAAATATTTTTAGAATATTAAAAAATTCAGTTGTGCATGAGAGTGGTATCACCATAAAAATATTACATATTAGTTTTGAATTGTTTGGGAAATCTGAATGCTTTTATGAATGGATAAAAAACAATTTTTGCTGCTGTAAAATAATTGTAAAGTTAGTGTCATGTGTTTCAGAAATTTCGATCTGCTCACACACAAAAATTTGCAAGAGCTGAAACTCAGGATATAGAAGTTCTGCCGAAAGAAGATGCAAAAGTAAGTTTAAGATATTCTCATGAATTATATATGTTTCTTATTCAAGTTCGTTTATTAAAAAATATATAAAGGTTAATCTGTAGTCTGGAGTCTGATTTGTCTGTAGTTTGTTGTCAGATTTTTATAATTAAATATTTAGGTGCATTTTTATACTTTTTGAATGCATGCCCTTCCAGAAAGTTGTCTCTGAGTTGGTGACTAATTTTCACCAAGTTAATATGTGAAAAGCAGCAGCCATTTTTAAAATGGCGACATACTAAGAATTTCTTAAAAGCAATGAATCAATAAAACTAAAAAAGCAAGAAATATCCATAATAAAACACTAACCTTTTTTCAAGAGTTCTAAATGTAATATTTTTTTTTTTTTTGTGTGTGTGTGTGTGTGTGTGTGTGCTGCCGTTCTTTTCATATATGCAGTAATCTGCTTGCTTTTAAAAAAAAAAAAAAAAAAAAAAAATGGAGAATTGAACAAATTTGGCAATGTGTGCACTGTTGTGTCTTCCCATATACACAGCGTGCTGTGTTTTCATTAAAAAAAATCAAAATTGCATATCTTTTTATCCATAAAATTCAGTTGTTTATCCGTCCGAGCAGCGCAGGATTTTAGATCCGTCACAAAGACCGGTATTTAAACAGCATTTATTAATTGAGTTTGTATAATTACTTATTTTAATATGAATTTTCATAAACTTGCATTCATTAAGATATTTGTATTATTAAAGAAAGTAATAAAGCAAAATATCTTAAATTATAAGGTAATATATGCCAAGTAGCAAAACTTATGATGACCGAATAAAGCCTGTCATAACGCTCAGAGTGTTAAGAAGTACAGCTTCATGGAATGCAGATTCGCTTATTTTACAGCTTCATGGAATGCAGATTCGATCATAGTAAATTGCTTTGTGAATACTTTTCAGAGGGGTGTGAATAATTAGAAAGAACCTTTTATTTTCCCATTAGTAATACAATACTTGCATATGAAACAGAAGTATCATATAACTCATGTTCATGACTCAATAAAAAATACATTGTTTTAGTAGAGATTCATTGAATTAATTTTCATGACATGTGAAAATATAATATGTAAGTGTAATATGATGATCAGGCTAATCTTTAGAATATGGTAACAGGTAGTTTGGCGACATTTTGGTAAGGCGATAAAGGTTACTAGCTAGGACTTTAGCAATAATCTGAGAAGTGCACAGTTCGAATCACAGATTATTTTGTCTCAGAGTCGTGAAACATGTAATGTGACATTTTCCGAAAAATTCCGATTGTGACTTTAGCTAATAAGCACTTAGAAACAATTTCGCTGCTAAAGTGCAGAATCGCCCACTTATTTGTTTGGGGCTTTTACAAGAGTAAGAAGAATTGGATTTCTGTCAATTTTCTTTGACTTTTTAAGTGAAAATAGGTCAATGTGTACATAGATAAAAGTCAAGAGTGTGCGCAATGCCATTTTGCCATTTTTGTGCAATTCTGGGATTATTTTAAGTGACTGAAAATAGATCGACGTGTACATGGATACCATGTATGTGCAATTCTTAAAAACGCGGCGAAGCAGTTTGACGATTCAACACTTTCTCCCAATTTCGCACCTAATCTTCGTCATGATTAAGCAACTCTTGTTCCAGAAAAGTTCTAGCATAAGCGTAATTCGGCTAGCAGATTGTTGGAAAAAATGTTGAGTTAAAAAAAATAAATGCCTTTACTTCGTGAAAACAAAATGCCGTCCAAACAAAAACTAGTAGGTTGCTGTAGCAGAGTTGGTCGCCAAAAAATCGCCAAGTTACCATAATGTAAAGATTCACCGATGATCAAACTAAAATAAGTAAGAAATATAATTGTTGTATTCTCATAAAAGTTTCTGGTAATAAATGTAAATTTTCATTGCTAATATAATAACTGGTATTTCTTATTTTTTGCATGAAAAAAGCTTGTGTTGCATATATAATCCATTCAAAATAGCCCTTAACTGACCTGCTGTATTTTTGATGGAAAAGCTGAATTTTTATAAGTTACTCCCTAAGCTTTTTTAATCCTATTTTGGAGTATCAGTTGGATAAAAGTTCATTGTTCAAGTTTTTCTGGTATGAGATTTAGTCATTTGTCATTATTTTAAACTGCTGAGAACGTAATCAGCATTTATGAATGATAGTTATTTTTCTTAGATCCATTATTCCGCTGATGCTTAATGCTATCAAAAATATAATGTTTATTAAAGCTTTAAAGCATTCAATATTCATGCTACTCACTGTAGTTCAGTAGACACTTAGCTGTATTATTGACAAACGTGTTGCTTATAAATTTTACTTGGGAAACAGCAGCAAATTCTTTACTCATTATACTACAAACATCATGAGTATCAAAAATTTTTAGTAGAAATACCTATTTGCTGATTTTATAGGATTCTTTTTTTTTTTTTTTTTTTTTGTATTGGTTTTGTTTAACACTTGGATCTGTAAACTTTGAGCAACGAAGCAAAAAATGTGAAATGTGCTGATCTAACATGAGCCTGATTACTGTGGCAAAAATGCATTACTTCCTAAGTAGTAGTTTGTTAGGAAACCAAGTAACAATAAAACATTTAACTTATCCTCTCAATTCCACAAAAGATCTGCTGACATTTCTTCCTTTCTCTCTCTGACCTTTCTTCTGACTGAAAGAATGGAAGCTGTATTCCATCCAGGAATAAAACGTTTCCATTTCTGTGTTGAACAAAAGATATTTATGAATTGTGTACTGCTGCAGCAGATCCTATTCACAAAGATTTGTTCATCATGTTGTATTACTTTCTTAATTTTGCATAGGTAACTTGTCATTATCTTATAAAAGGGAATACCTCCTAAAAATATCAGAGTTTTTGGTAATTACTTCATTGCATAAAAATGTAGAAATAATTTTGTATTTTAGGTTATTTGTGCATATATACATATGGCACACATAATTATTTCGTATACATAAAGTGTTATATAATTTTTTATTTAGTATTGGTTAGTATGAATAATATCTTAATTTTGATATCTAATTTTTTTCATTCAAAAGAGAATAAATGATCATCAAAGCTTACTAGTAACGGGTGGCCATAATTAAACTGACAGTGTTCACAGTGACGGGGGACGAAGGATTCCGCGAAAAAAAAAATTAATTCCAAAAGTCATCGCTAGGGAAATATTTGGCGCTATGTAATAGAAAATAGAGTGTTAACAAATGCAAATTAATACGGAATAAAATTACCGTTTATTATGCACATTTTCTGATTTAGTTCAAGTGCAATTTGGCAACACTTTTTAAAAAGCGTAAAATCTACATAAACACCAATAAAATCTCGTGATCTGCAATATCACGTACGCTGAGCAGAAGAAATTCTTTATTCAAACTTCACGTTACATCCATTCGCACAGTGCCTAGCTGCTTGGGATTTTAAAAGGCAATGTGTTACGTTTCAAATCAATCGGATTGAAAGTTTATGTGCAATGTTCTCCTTCTTTAGTTGAGCGTGCGTTACTGGTCAAATTCTTTTACCTGAACCAGTCCAACGCGTCAGCCGCTCTTCGTGCTTTTAAAACTCGCCAAAAAAAAATGCGGCCCTGTGACAGTTAATTGGCTAAAAGCAATTGCGATGTTAGAGAAAACAGGTTCTCTGAAGGTTCAGTCAGGCAGAGGACGAAATATTGTACCACAGGATACAATCGAAGCAGCTGCCACGACGATTGTCGACAGAGGACCAAACAATATTGCTGCCACCTCTAGTACTCGTGGAGTAGCTCGGAATATGGATATGCTTTACAGTACGGTATGGAAAGTCTTACGAAAGATTACCAACTTCTATCCGTACAAGATCAGCCGTGTACAGGAGTTACTGTACCCCGACCATGATAAGCGATTGACTTTTGCTCTCACCTTTGTTGAAAGAATATTAAGAAAGGTTCTTGGGAGAGCCTGCCTTAGTTATGAGGAAATGTGTACCGTTTTGTGTAACTGTGAAGCTATCTTAAATGATAGACCTTTAACAGTTGTATCGGCGGATTCAAGCATCACTTCCATAACACCTGGAAATATTTTGCGGGAAATACAAAACCATTCAGTGCCAATTGTAAAACATGACTTCAATACTAACTTTTATAAACGTAGATTGCGTTATATCCAAAATGTTAACCAGGTTTTCAAGAAAAGATTTTGCCAGGAATATCTGGGAACTTTGAAAACAGCAAGCAAAAAATTCGCTAGAAGTTGTAAAATTAAAAGAAGGAGACATTGTCTTAATTGGAAGCGATGACAAAAGAAGATTAAATTGGCCTCTTGTTAAAATCATACAATTATTTCCAGGTACCAATGGTGAAAGTCGAAGAGCCAGAATTAAAGTGCAAAACGGAGAAGTCATAAGAGCTGTACAAAATCTTTATCCTTTAGAATTATTGACTGCCGAGGAACTTCCATCGAAATTCAGCGGAAGTCAACGATGCGAAAATATTTCAGTAGAGCAAACTCCAATTGATGATGTACCTGTAGAAACAAATAAAATAATCCATACCCATTTAAAATCGCTCACGATAACCAAATTAGGAAGGACAATTAGAGTTCCTCATCGATTAGATTTGTGAGAACAATGTTTAATTTTTTATTATTTTGCAATACTAGATCCCGAATTTCATATTGCAAGGTGGGAGGATGAACAGTATTTTGACTCTTAATATTTTTGTTTACATTTTTTTTTTTCTAACTGCAGCTTCTGAGTAATATTGCATGAGCTCCAAGCAGATGTAATCGTTTTCTTTATGCTATAGGTTTTTTTTTAAAATTTATTATCGTTTTCTTTATGCTATAGGTTATTTTTTATTTGTACAGTTTATGTTTCAGAGAGTGGCAATATACTATGCTCTCTTTTTTTAGAAAGTTAGTGTAACTTTGGGGTTTTTTTTTTTTTTTTTTTTTTTTTCATTTTAGAGTTTGACTGAAAGTATTATTTAATTATTGTAGAGTCATAAATAACTAAAGAGATATAAATAGTTATTTCCGAGTAATAAAGAGTTCTTGAGGTAACAAATTTGGTGAGAATTTTTGAACACCTAGAGAGGTTGACAATTTAGGAGGTAAAGCATGCAGAAACTAGCGAGAGCATTGGTTTGCATATTGAGACAAATCTCTAATTCTTAGAAAAGATGCTTAAAGAAAAGGAAATTGATATAAACTAGCGAAAATGTCTGGGAAGGCTTCAAATTAAAATGACAGATAAATATTTTGTTGAGTGTTGTTGCTACAAAACATAAATGTTTTGTAGCTTTTAAAGTGTAATTATTCTAATATCGTTTAAGAATCAATGTCATAAATTACATGTATTTTAAACTGTGAAATTTTATTAGATTTTGAATTTAATAAGGCTTTTTTTTTTATTCTGTTAAAAAATAAAATTTAATAGTGGTCGTGTAAATCCATAATGACTAGGTTATCAAACTACCTAATTTAATTATTTATAAGTAACTGCTTACCTTTAAAAATTATCTCTACAAATTAAAGCGTGTTAATGCCTTTCATTAATGCTCACTGTGGTCACAAAATAAAATACAAAAATGTAAAAATTAAAAAATTCAAGTAAAACTTATTCTTTGCATCTAGTGAAACTTAAAATAATATAAAACAACTTATCACCTCTGGTGCTTTAATGGCTTATTGAAACCTTAAAGTATATTAACTGGGTTAAAACCCCCGGAACGCTTCACAAAGTTATGACACTAACTGCATCAAACAGATCCTAACTTTCAACGCTTGCCAACCGTGTCTACATCAGGCCTTTCAGGTTTGTTCTAATCGGCAGGTCTCTCGTAGCAGTAGTGGTGATAACATTCAGTCTTTTGTTATGAATCATGCTGATTATGATCTTAGTTCTCATTTTAACCTATGCCGTTTGACGTAAAAATCTACCTGCTATTTCCTGAACTTCTAGACTGAACAAATATGTGACAAAATGAGACATAAAAAGATCAACATGAAAGATCAACTGTAAGTAAAATGTAAATGTCACTTATCTTCTTTCAAATATGCCCGACTATTTTAAGTGTAAAATATTTAGTGCTGCATGATAAATTGCATACAGATTATTATATTCTCAAACGTATTAATAATTAAGTTTATTTCTATAGTCATGAATAAATCTTTCTTGCATAGAGATGTTTAGAAGTACATCATAAACCTGATTGAAAAAAAAAAAAATTCCCCCCCCTCTCATTTTTCTGAGTGTACGTATTCCTTGGGTGTATGTTTACCACAGCTTGGGAGCCAATAATAACCTAAAGGCATTTGTTATAATGAAAAAAAATTGCAAATACAGAGCTTGAGGTAATTACACCACAGTTTGAGGACAACTGATATAAGTAACATCTGTTAAACTGAAAGAAATTACAGTTGCAGAGCTATTTACATATTTTTAGAAGAGTATACTAAATTTTTAGAATCAATTACTGCTAAAGTGTGAAGTAAAAAAAAAAAAAAAAAAAAAAAAAAAAAGCTTAATTATTTTATTTAATTGTGTTTATTGTGTTTTTTCGGGATTATAAATTATATCTTGATTTTGATCCATGGCAAGAGAGAGGGCAATTCCTACTCTTGGTAATTGTATTTTTCTTGTTGTGTTTTTGGTAGTCCATCTAGTGTCTGCAGAGAAAGGGCTCTTTCATTTATTCTAAAAATGCAATAATCCACAGGTGGAGCATCAGTGGAAGTAAATATGAGCAAAAGATATTCAGTACAAAGTCCGAAATCCTTATGTCCATTATCCAAAATGATCTAAAATCCGGACCTCGGAACCACCAACATTTTTCTTGTAGGCTTTATGCATGTGCATTTAATTCCCCCCTCCACACATAATGAAACATCTGGAGAGTCTCGATTCTTAAATAAATTAAAGAAACAATTATTTTAGCATAAATTTGTGCGATCAATAATTTGCTCGCTTGCTACGTGCTTTAGCACACATCTGAACCCGAAACATTCAACATAGATGCATCGTTGATCTGATGCCAACCGAATCATTATTTATTATACTTTCCTTTCATTACCACATGTTTATCAACACATGGCAACTTGAGTAACGACTCATGTAGCGATGCCTAAACAATTTTTTTATGTTATTAATTGAATAGCAAAGTAGTATGGTAACCTTTTATGTTGACATTACGCTTGGCGATGATTACAGATTTAAGTTAAATGCACTAAAAGATGTTGAAGAGGAAAAATTTAACAAAAATTTCTTTCCTAAAATGCTAAAAATAGATTTTGTTGATGATACTCATAGACCCAAAGATTTCATTTAGGGTGATTTAAATTAAGAATAACTGATTTGTTATTCACATAAACCCAAAACCAGCACCAGATCTCGTATGGCCGTATCGGTCTCAGGATATAGGACCCACAGAGACTGCATCAGGTGGTAAGATAATCTAGCACCAGCCCTCTATGAGGCTTAAGTATAAAGCATGTGCAAGAAGTATAATAAATAACTAAACTAATACAATTCAGGCTTAATTGTTTCAGTGAAGCAAGATAAAATTCAACAGAACAACTTGTCGTTGGAACATTTCTATTTATGCTTGGTGAAATAATTTTAATGAAAAAAAAATCATAGCATGTAATACTTTTACATGTGCTTAAAGGCAATTACCTTAATGTTTTCAGCTTTTTCTAAACTTAAACAATTAACTGATTATAATAGAGCCAAAGCTAGATTATACAACCTGCTCGCTAATGTAGAACATTATCAATGTAATGAAGACAAATTTCTAAATCAGTACCTTTTGCTAAGAAAACTTTAAGGATCTGTGTAAATGGTTATAGATTTTTTTGTGAATATGATATAAAGTTATTTCCCTGTAAAGTTCAGTGAGGAATCTATCTTGGTATTATTAATTCATTGATATGATTTTCTGTTTCTTCATATGAAAGTATTTTTAATAAGGCTAAGTATTTTTAACAAGACTACTATTTTTAAATAGTAACAAGATTATATAAACTTTTTATCATTTCTAATCTTTGAATAAATTGTAAATTTATAGTAGGGTTTTGTTCATATGTTACAGTGAAATGTGACTTAAACTAGACTGTATATGTTTGAAGCTGGGTTTTCAATAGTGTGATATTTAAAATTAATTTTATTTCACTGAAATAAATCTATGTATATATTTACATTCTACTTCTCTGTATCTGTAATACATAGAATGGATGCATTTAAATGTGCAGTGTATTATTTTGAATTTTAGTTAATACAAAATATGCATTTTAGGTGACACAAATTGAAAGTGGTATAACTATTGCATCTATAGAAAATTATAATCCAATTTCTCAAGTATCTCTGGTGCTTAAAGCTGGTTCACGGTATGAAACTGCACAAAATTTGGGTGTCAGCCATGTGTTACATAATTGTGCAACCTTGGTTTGTATATAAATTTATATTTTATTTGAAATTAGCTTCATTTTTGCTCTATTTAAATAGATTTTTACAAATTTATTTTTCTTTTAGTCAACAAAAAATCGTACTGGGTTCTGTATAACCAGAAGCTTGGAACTCTTAGGGGCAAAATTAGAGTAAGTTTTCCACATTTTTGAGTGCATAGTGTAGTTACGCAGAAGAATTTACTATGAGTAAATTTTGTGTTAAGCAAATTTTAATGGATTGAAAGAACTTTAAATAAATATTCTTATAAATTTACGTAATGTGTAATTTTCTTATGTATATACTTATTGCGTAGTTTAAAAATTTATATATATATATATAACTAAGTAAATGGGAGATACTAAATTTTACACTCTGATTGTATAAGATAACAATGGGCCATTTGGAGAAATATATTCAGTTTAAAAGTGTTCAACTAGGTTTTTCTAATTCAGAAGTCAAACAACAAAAATCAGCGTTATAGTTTCAAATTTTCACAGGACTACTTTCGATGGTTTTACCGAACCACCATCCTCAGCTGCAAGTAGGTTTTACTGTTTATTAAGGCAGAGTAATTAAAGCCTTGGAAGGGATGTCACCATAGTACATTTAAAAGGAAAATTAAATTAAGGTCATGTTCCTCATTCATGTTCACTGTGAAATTTAAATGCTGCCTTTTTTTGTCCTGGGCAATGCGAGTAGTAAGTCAGAGAAGGAGAAACAATTAAATCTTTCATAGTTAATTCATTGTTGGCCCCTTGATACTTTTTCTATCTCAGTTTTTAATTTTTTGGGCTTTGCTTAATAAATAGCCCTACTGTTATTGTTTCCATTTCTATAACTTATTCTGTTTGCATTAAAAATTCTTATTCTGTTTGCATTATTTAAATGGCTTGTTTTTGGAAAAAAAAAAAAGCATTTGCTCCTTGATAGGAGAGAATTTCACCTACTTGCCTCAATATTCATACTTTTACTCTAAAATTGTAGTAAGTGTAAGGTTTAATTTTAGTGATTTAAAATTTGTTATGTCTGCTTCCAAATTTCCAGTATTATTTAATCTGCAAACAAAAATATAGTGCATATAAAACTGAACTAGTTGTTTATCCGTAGATTTATTTGACTGTAACAGTGCAATTTCTTTTTAATGCTGAATAAATTATTTGTTCATTTCTTTTACAAAACTACAGCATCAGGCCAGAGTTTCACTACTGAATACAGTGAATTCATTATATTTGAAGATTCGTTAATTGATTTTCTAAATAGATGTTTATAGTCATAAGTGAATTAAGTTGCATTTTTAAACTATAAAACAGTCCCTTTTATATAACATACTTTTTATAGAAATAGCTGCAAGCTATCAATAATTTTCTCAAGTGCTTTATCTTTTGCCTTAAATTCATTAAGCAACATGTTGAGGTGGGGTATTTCTGGTAATCCAGCTCATTTCAGTGTTACATAGCACAAACTTTCATTATTTTTAGTCTTAAAAATTTGTCACAATCGAAATATTTCTTATTCAGTTAACTGTATGGCTGTTAATCATTTAATTAAAAAATCAGAAAAGTAATTGACATAAGGTTCACAGGGTTTATGTGGTTCTTAAAAGTCCTTAATTTCAGTCAGCATTTGCTAACAGTCCTTAATTTTGCTGATCTGGCTTTTTTGTCTTTTTTTGAGATTATCATTTCGAGTGTGAATTAACATATAGGATGAACATTGAATTTAGGCTTGTTGTGGAGGCACTGCACATTGTGAATAACAAGGAATAATCATCTGCCTCAGAACACAAGCTTCAGGCAGAATACTGTCTTGGCCTTCAACCTTAAACTTGCCATGCTTTAATCTATTTTGAAGAAAACATGACCTTTAAACAAACGTGAAGTTCAAACTTTTATAGAAGTTGTGCTTCCACCCTCTGTTATCTGTAAATCTGGAGTATTCACGTTTTTGGGTAAAAGACATGAATAGGGCACTCTAAAAAAAGGGGAGGATGTTCTTGGGGGGGGGAAGAAAGAAAGAAAGAAAAAAGCCAATATTAAAACAATCTATATCATAATCTATATAAAGTTCAGCTGCTTCTGCTTCAGCGGCATAAGAAATTGGGGGAGTATCTATAACAGTTTAAGGTAAACTAGAGGTCCACAAAATCAGTTATACTTCTTTCAGTAGCTTGTATTTTTTGTCTTTTAACCCTTTAACGGTTTGACCCGTATTTTCTCGTTCTTTTATGCGGGTCTCTTAACGGTTCATTACGGATTATTGTTAGTTTAAATGTACCCTCGAAAACGGGCAGTCCCGTGTTTTTGTATTATTGAAAAAACATGCCAAAAGCGACTAGCCCGTATTTTTATATGTCTTCCAACCCCCAATGCCTAAGGGGACAAAGGTCCATGCAATCCTGACGACAATGGGTGGGAACATTAGCGTGGGGAGAAATCTTGATGTTTTGGGATAAAGGCCGTACACTGACTCTAAAGAAACATATTTATTACCAGTTACAAAGTGGATGCATATATAAAGGGATTTAAGAATTTCCGTTTTAGAGCCGTTATTGAATAAAAAATAGAATTTTTACAATATGAACGTTTACCTATAAGAGCATTAATGAATTAAAACAAGAAAAATAAAAGTAATAAATGCAAACATGAAAATCTGAAAATGCAAATCTTTCAGATTTTACGTTACGCCTAAAGGGGCATTTTTTTAATGGTTTGTGGGTTACCTTTATTTTCAAATATCATGTTCTTCGCACTTAAACCATAAAACTTCAGTTAAACAGCAATACCGCAAAATAAATTTTAAATGAGCATATCTTTAGAATTTCTGATACAGTCTCACCCGTTGGAGATATTTTTTTTATATTATTATTTTCATACAGTGTTGCCTTTGCTCGCTTTGAAATCTGAGTTTCTTAATAAAAAATTCATTGAAGTTTTACGAAATATGAAACAGATAATAAAACAAATTCCAAATCTCGGCTTTGAGATGCCCATACTCGGGTGGAACTGTACATTATTCAAAATCGCATTGGTCTAGGTACCGTTGTTTTATCACAATGTGAGAAACATACATACATTTATGCAGATTATTCATTATTTAATTTGAAGGCAGATAGCCCTCGAGTGCTTTGCCGTAATCTAATAAACCAAAACCATTATTTAATTCTTTAAATATAATACAGGGCTGTAATATTTGGTAGCAACAGTTTGAAAAGTGAATTGACATGGTTTTCAACGCAAAATGCCAAAATGAAGTTAATAGACCTTCTCGGCTAACGCTCTTTGGGCTAAAAATAATGTATCATGTAATTTAATGGGAATACGAAATTAAATAATTCTCTTTAAAAATTCTTCTACAAACTTATATCACGAATAATAAAAACGTGAGGGAATCTTGATAAATTTATAAATCTTATACATCTGACAATGCGATTCAATTATTTGATTTCGTAATTTAAGTACCTATGATTCTTGTTATAAAACTGTACAGGAATTTAGCAATGAGCTATTAAGTAATCTCTTATTACCATTAATCTGTGTGATAAATTATTATTATTATTACTTTTGGTTCAGTCTTTTACTTCCAAGTATCCTTTTACCTCAAATAATCGAAAAGATATATAAATTTAAAACAAAATTTGCCCTGAAATCAGAAATTAGGTTACAAATTGCATGCAAATTTTATTTCAAAAGCTATTTTATGCTCTGTAAAATGATGCAAACTTAAGAATTTTGAGATTTTTAGTTTATTCTTTAAATGGAAATATGCGCAAAAAAGTTTCTTCAACATTAAATTTTAAAATCTCTAAATCAAATTATTATCATCCATAAACGGTGTGTGTACAAAATTTGAACTTGATAGCTTATCGAGAAGTAGTTCAAAAATCGACGACGAGCTTTTGATTAAAACACCATGAAATGAACTGAATACAATTTTTGGAACAGCTCTATTTTAAACACTTTGGAAAGACAGTAAGTTGTTGATATAGCATAACCGTTATTTTTATAACATTTGGCATTATGAAACGTGTAAGTGACATTCATAAGCGATCCCGACAATTCTGTTCATTGTCAAAGTGGCTGCTTTGAAAAATTGTGAAGCTCATCTATGTGCTCCATTATCTATGATACTCATTAATAATTTAATATGTTTATTTCTATACAGAAATACTGGTAAAATTAAGAGAGATCAATTATTAATTATTGAGGTACATACTACTTACTGTCAAGAAATTTGGAGTCATTTTGTAAATATAATCTTCTTTAAATTAGTTAGAAACCTTTCATCTTGATTAGTGTGACAGGTGCTGTAGTTTGAAGGTTAGGATACTTGAATACAGAAAAACACACGAGGACTATCTGCTTTTAGGAAAGAGTGCTTCGTAGAGGCTTTTAACGAGAAAAGTCTCATATTCATGTTTATACATAGGAAAAACCTGGAAAAATACCATTCAGCCATGTATTCGTTCGTCAGGGTGTAAATCAAGTCGAACTACCAGTATTTCCCGGCCACGAATACGACCATAGTTGAATAGGGGAAATAACTGTTGACTGTAAGGCACCTAATTATCACTTCTGAGTAATTTAAACCAAATTAAGTTTTTTTTTAATTATGAAAGAGTCCAACTCATTTGTTAATTCAGATTGTTAAAAATTAGTGTTGCCTTAATGAACGATTATTTAGACCTGTTACAGGAAACAAATACATCAAAAGTTTCCTTTTAAAATATCAGGAATTATTGAAAAAACTCTGTAATTTATAAACAAGAAACGTATTTAACAGTTTTCAAAATAATGAATTTTGATTCCCATAGAGGCTTTGTAAGTATTCTAGTTCAAATTTAAGTGAGAATTAGTTGCTGAAGCCAGAGATCACTATCGATTCTTCTTGGCTTCTATTTTCAGCGAACTATGTTATTGCAGTTTTATAGAAAATTATAAAATTTTCAGTTTCAGTAAACAAATATATAATATTTTGACGACTCAGCAGGTAACATAATTTATTATCTTCCTAGTTTTTACATAATTTATTAGCTTTCAAGTTTTTTTCGAAATCACCTCGGCAGATATAGAATCAGCCGCAGACTGTACTAACTTAACAAGCGCAGATCTGAGTGTTCACATTCTGTTTAACTGCAATAAGAACAAGTATA